AACATGTACTTATGCACAGTAGATTTGTAAATGGGCTGATTTATCAATGTCATGCTCATACTGTGATGGAATAACATAGGGGGAACTGCTGCTTTTTTATTTCCTCATCCTTACTATAGTCTTTTTTCCCTCTACTTCTTTTTGTACGTTTGTTATTCTCTTGTGAACTGCCGTTTCCAGGGTGCCTTGATAGTCGAAGCAGACTTTGTGCAGTTGAAGCTAGAGAGGTGAGCAGAGTAAGCCTGATTCCCCATTTGGAATTCTCAGTTTACATCCACCCCTCTGCGCTCATATGACCTTATGCAGTTGCGAGCGCCGTAAAACCTCTACTAAAACAAAAACAAAAAAAACAAACAGCGTTCAGTATGCACTCAACGATTACACGATTGCGCGCTCAAACTCTCCGATAGCTGGTTGGCTGAGCCCATCTCTCTCACACAACACACACACACACACACACACACATGAGCGAACAGTATAATTTGATCAAATACAGTTTTTTCCCCTCTGTTTTCATCTGTTTCTATTTAGGATCGTCGGCTGCCATCAAAATCTCGAGTCCAGATTTTTGGCACACATTTAGCCCAAGTGGTACCATGCGCTTGTGCCGCTGATTGATTCAGACTTTGAAGCCGTGCGTCCATTTTTTTCATTTCCGTTATTTTCAAAATCTATCTCCGGCTGAAGAAAAAACATGTAAATGAACTCGCGGTTTCAGATCAGTTCGTAATTATGATACGCTAGTCTACTTTATCCACTAAAAGCCTCAACAAAAAGAGTAAAAAGGGCGAAACAAGCGAAGAGGAAGAATTAAAAAATAAAAATAAACAGAAACGCCTGGGGACAAACATAAAACGATAATCACGTATTTTTGAGATGTGTGCGTTATTATTTTCGTAGTGCGGGCGCTGCAGACAAGCTATTTAATCGGTCGTCGTGCCGTGGAAGAACTCTAATGCTCTAATAGAGAGGACAAATAATTCTGTACTGTGTGGTGAAGAAGACACCACGTTTCGCAACATAGGCCTACTTCCGAGCAACAGAGGCGACGAGACAGATTTTTCCCTGTCGTGATTACCGGTTACGCGGGGTAAAATTGACGCGTGTGTGATGGTTTGAGGGGGTGGGGGGCGGAGGTTGGAGAGTTATTATTTCCACTAAAAAGTAAATAATGAGCTAGTTTGCAGCTAAAAAGGAACCAGGGGCCCTGAACTGGGATAAAGAATAAAGCTTGCTGCGTGCTTCAGACGTGGTTTTTTTTTGTTTCGTTCGTCTGTCTATGCGTTTCTTATTTTAAAATGATGTTTGTATTTACTGTGACGTAGGCATCCGTCTGACGTATTGTTTCGCACTTTTCTACATTTAGTTTCAGTCTTCTTTTACTTTCCTGCGTTGGCGTTTTAATAATATGGCGAGGATGATTTCGATTACAAATGTGTGGTTTTCTCATTCGGATTTTAGTGAATTTTTTAGTTGATTGTAAACCTGTGCACGTGCCAGAACAAGTTCTGGAGAGACTTTGTGTCTGTGTGTTTGTGTGTGTGGTTTAGAAAAGATAGGAATTTTATCTCCTTTCATTGTCCTTTTCAATCTAACAGTCAGTTTTTCCCCGCTTGTTTTCAGCAGAAAGAGATCACTGTTTTCAGCTCTGGGTGGCAATTCTCACGGCTCTTTCAGCCTTTGACATTGTCCACTGGAGATGCAGTGAAGCAACCAACACAACTGAAAAGTTCAGAATTATTTGGTGAAGTTGAGTCTACTGCCGCATTGTTATAGGCCTACTACCTATATCCTGCGCACGTATGACCTTATGCAGTTGCGAGTGCCGTAAAACCTTACTAAAACTAAAACTGCTTATTATATCCTAAATACAAGAGCTTTTGAGACCAAACTCCATTTGTGCGCTTTTGCCATAGGGTTGAAGGGGGTTTAGCAACCTCCATTAAGTTATTGTGAGTAAAGATCAAATGCAATACTTTGTGGTTTACTGTTTCAACTTGTGTGAACATCGGAGGTAGGGAGGTGTAGAATTGTCAAGTGTTTGTGTGTACGGTAGTGCTACATTGGGCGCCGAGGTGAACCATGTTGGAGGATATTCCAGAAAAAGTGAGTGCAAGCCTCGTATTGTTTTGTGTGTGTGTGTGTGTGTGTGTGTGTGTGTGTGTGTGTGTGTGTGTGTTTATTTTGTGT